ACCTCTTCTCCATTGTCCTCTGATAATAACATGTCCCTCATTTCCATCTGAGACCTCATCAGAACAGCCGTTAGGTAGCATCCACGTATCTTCCAGTATTCTGCTTCTTAATCTGTAAGAAGATGGAATCTTTCTCTACAGAGCTCCTCTTTTCTTCCTGAGTTCTTAACAGAAACACCTTTAAAATTCTGTTCGTGGAAGTCTAGGCCTTTTCTAGCATGTGCCTAAAAACTCTCCCCATCATCCACTTCAAGAGCCACTTGTACATTTTTTGGTACGTATTTGTCACAGGAGCAGCCCACTTCTTTGTACCTGTATCTGTATTGGGGCTTTCTAGAGGAACAGAGTCAGTAGGATATATCTAGATAGATAGACATGAATTTTGAGGGATTGGCTCACACAGTTATGGAGGCTGAGAAGTCTCATTATCTGCCATCTGCAAGCTGGAGACACAGGAAAGCCGGTGGGAACCAAAACTGAAGGCCTGGAAGAAAAAGAAGCCAATGGTGAAGGTTCTAGTCTGAGTTTCAAGACCCAAGAAGTGGGGGAGAGGGTGTGGGGTTATGAGTTCTCATCTTCAGTCTGAAGGTCTGAGAACCAGGAGCACCGATGTCTGATGACAGGAGAAGACGGACACCGATGTCTGATGACAGGAGAAGATGGGCAGCCCAGCTCACACAGGGAGCAGATTTGCCTTCTTCCATCTTCTGTTGTACTCGGGCCATCAACAGATTGGATGACGCCCACCTGCACTGGGCAGGGAGGGCAGTCTTCTTTACTCAGTCCAGCAGTTCAGATGCTCATCTCTTCAGGACACACCCTCACAGACGGACCCAGAAATAGTGTTTTATCCGTATCTGGGCATTGCCTTGGTCCAAACTCACACATCAAGTTAACCATCACGTGTAGGTAATACCAACAGTGTCCATGTTTTAAATGTTTCCTGCTCTTTTTATACAAGAAGGGGAAATTGTTCATTATTGTGAACATACCTAGCTGACTTTAGAGTCTCCAGAGACCAGAAGTGACTCTGTTTAGGAATGATGGGAAATGGGATAACAGAGATAAAATTTCATTTTGTTCTTTTTGCTCTACGTACCTCAACTTTATACTGACGCTGGCTACCACAGGGTCTCTACTGCATGGATGAGCTGGGAAGTGACAGCATGCATTTATAATTCTGCCACTGAATGTAAAGCCTTACAAAGTCCCTTTGGCCAGCGAAGACAAGCTTCACAAATGAAATTTGAGATAATTATTCTGATATTTTTCCTGGGAGGTTATTATGAGGTGTTTCACATTGATTTTTGATAGTGATTTTTTTTTTTTAAGTGCAAAGGCAATAGCTAAACCAATTCTGGCATATCCATACAGTGGAATAGTACTCCAGCAATGAAAAAGAACAAGCTAGTGATACACACAGCCATGTAGATGGATTGTAAAAGCATTTATATACTGAGAGAAGGAAATCTTATGCAAAAGCGTATGCAGTATGTGATTCTGTTTATATGGATTCTAGAACAGGCAAACTAATCTTTTTCTTTTTTTTTTTTAACGTTTACTTATTTTTGAGAGAGAGAGAGAGAGAGAGAGACAGATTGCAAGCAGGGAAGGGGCAGAGAGAGAGAGGGAGACACAGAATCCAAAGCAGGCTCTGGGCTCTGAGCTTGAGCTGTCAGCATCGAGCCCGACGCAGGGCTTGAACTCAGAAACTGTGAGATCATGACCTGAGCCAAAGTTGGATGCTCAGCCGACTGCACCATCCAGGCGCCCCAGCAAACCAATCTTTGGCAAAAACTCTAATGACAAAAGTGCTTACCTGGAGGTGGGTAAGGGCTAGAGACAGGTTGGGAAGGGATATGAGGGAATTCTCTAGGGTGTAGATAAGAGTCTGTATTTTGATAGGGGTTGGGTTACAGGGGTGTGTACGTTTTTCAAAAGTCATCAAATGTGCTTATGATTTTATTGTATGTAAAATTTACCCGCAAATGGAAACAAAATAATGATATAAGTGTTGAGATCTTTAGCAGTGAAGTGTACCGATATCTGTATTTGACTTTGAATTGTGATAACTATAACAACAAAAATGGATTGATGAATACACAATAATAATGCAATAAGGCAAATGCAAAAGTGAATTATAGAATCTAGCTGGTAGTTATTCAGGTACTTCTTGGCCAATTCTTTGCATTTTCCTATAGGTTTGAAAATTTTATAATACAATGTTAAAAATTGAATTTCAGAAAAAACCTATTAATATAAAAAAACACAAAGCATGCAGTGGTTAGTGTTTTTGGTGATACAATATTCTTTTTTTTTTTTTAATGTTTTATTTTATTTTTGAAGGAGAGGGAGACAAGGTGTGAATGGGCGAGGGGCAGAGAGAGAGGGAGATACAGAATCCTAAATGGGCTTCAGGCTCTGAGCTGTCAGCACAAGGCCTACATGGGGCTTGAACTCACAAACTGAGAGATCATGACCTGAGCTGAAGTCAGACGCTTAACCTACTGAGCCACCCAGGTGCCCCTACAATATTCTTTTAAGCACTGAATATCCTTAGAGAAGTTTAGCTACTTGTTAAAGGTAAATGAGAATTTATTCTACTGTCTTTGCTCAAAATGCTGCATAAAAGAGACATTTAAAATAATAAACACATAAGAATTTTGATTTCACAATACGAATTGTTATGAAGTTAAATTTATAATTAAAAACTACTTAAGATCATGTTTTTGACTACACATCCTTTCATTTTTAATTTTTCTTTTTGTCAGTCTCCATGAACTATCTTTAAGACATGATAGGTTCTGAAATCCAAAGAGGGATAAGCCGGTGATAGAATTCGATCAAGAAGAATGTACTAGTTAAATGATATAGATGAACTGATAAGTATTGTTGAAAATATTGATTTTAGGGTACAAATCATATCACAGCACTGACTTTTTATACCCTGAGAATTACTGAAAATCAGAAAGACTGGAATATAATTCAACATGATCGTGACAGATTAGAGCATTGTATTTTTTCAGAAAGACAAAATTCAATAGGAACATGTACAAAAATATACCGTTCCAGACCAAAAACCAACCAATGGGGAAGGACCAGTTATGAATCTAGGGTGTCAGCAGCGACCATAGTCAGCCCTTTTCACTGAATATTCACTGTCCTTGTGCTAAGATTGAATTCAGCTTTGTTATATATATTTTTCCTTTTCTAATTTTTTATTTAAATTCTAGTTAACATGTAGTATAATATTAGTTTCAGTAGTAGGGCTTTGTGACTCATCACTTATATATAACACCCAGTGCTCATCACAGGTGCCCTCCGTAATCCCCATCACCCATTTACCCCATCCCCTGCCCACCTCCTGTCCAGCAACCCTCAGTTTGTTCTCTGTCTTAAGAGCCTGTTTGATACATATTTTTAAGTAATATGGAGAAATAAGTAAAGATTTAAAGAGGAACAAGATGACTAAAATAATGAAAAACTGGTCCTAGGAGGAAAATCTGAGAGAAAAGAGAAACTTCTCTGAAGGCTTCAAGATTGAAAAGGTTCAAGTTCTGCTTGATTTATTACCATTTTCAATTACATGAAGTGTTTTTACGGAGAGATCCTATGAAAACTAACAAGGGAAATGGATTGAAGTTAAGAGATAATGGAGTTGTGCAAATGGGAGAATCCCTGGACTTCAAGGTTGATCAGACTCTGGAATAATTACCAGGTGATGCTGTGGACCCTGCATCCCTAGAAAATATGGAAGCAAAATAGAAATTCTGAGTGGATCTAGATTGACCTGCCAGAGGTCAGGGGAAAACTCAGATGATCCGTGAAAGGACCTGACTGGGCCTGTGTTCTATTAATAATGTTTCGCTCCATGTAGGAGTTGTAAACACAGCTTGGTATTAAATTACATTTTTCTTGGGGTGCCTGGGTGGCTCAGTTGGTTACGCATCCAACTTCAGCTCAGGACATGTTCTCACAGTCTGCGGGTTTGAGCCCCACGTCGGACTCTGTGCTGACAGCTCAGAGCCTGGAGCCTGCTTCGGATTCTGTGTCTCCCTCTCTCTCTGCCCCTCCCCAGCTTGCGCTCTGTCTCTCTTTGTCTCTCTCTGTCTCTCAAAAATGAATAAACATTTAAAAAAAAATTTTAAACATAAATAAATTACATTTTTCTAGGCTTTCTATAAGGACTGGCAACTTTAAGTTCACTTAGAAAGTCACTGTTACTTTACAACTGCATGACTGTGGATAGCAATACTGAATTGTATGCTAGAAATTTGCCAAAGGAGTAAATCTTAACTGTTCTCACCACAAAACGAGGTGGAGAGGGGAAGACAGCCATGTGAGGTGATGGGTAGGTAAGTTAGCTCGATTGTGGTGGGGACTGTCCCACAATGTACAAACATGTCAAAACATGAAGTCGTACACCTTGAATATAAATACTTTGTGCTTGTGAATTAAACCCCACTGAAGCCAGAAACAAATCACTGTATTGAATGATTCTTCCTTTCATTGGGCTTGTTTCCTAGTAAATGACTACATGTTGCTTTGGTGACTGTAACACTGTTCTTAATGTACCTTCCGTACCTTATAATTACTATGAAATAATTACAGTGCATCCTGTCATTTTCTCTTCAGTGTTACAACGTGATCCTTAGGCGTACATTTGTTTTTTTGTTTTGTTTCATTTTGTTTTATATTAAACTTTTTATTAAAACTGAGTCTTCATGATATATTTAAAAGGACATGTTCCACAAACAAATATTTGGACAAAAAATTTTCTATATATAATTATTGGCACATAAATTTAAAATAAAAACTAAGCTCTAAATATTTATATATATATATTCATGTATATATATTCGTGTGTGTGTATACACACACACACACACACACACACACACACACACACACACACACACATGGGTGTATCCAATTCATGTCAGTGATCTGGAATACCTGAGTTTCAAGCTGTTGGTTTTCCAGATAGTCCTAAATGTTTTTCACCCACTTTATAAAGGACACAGTCCATCCAGAAAGAGTAACTTTGGTTAATAGATGCTGTCTCCCAAAGATAGCACAGATGTCCTCAGTGGGATTCAGGTTTATCTTCAGAGGTTTCTTCCAAGTGGAGGTCAGTCTGTGATGCAAGGAAGGATTCCCGTGTAGCAAGGCACTGTTCATAATACTGGATATTCTCCTCAGCCATATCTGTAAATGCTGACTTGATATCACTTTGCACATTATGTCTCCATCTTTCCCAGTCTGCTTTCAGGGCGTTATTAGCGCATTCCACTTTATCTTCAAGTTTTCCAGTCTCTTCTGTAAGCAGATCAGTATCTGCCTTTTTATAGGTCAAAGCTTCCTCTTTGGGTCCAGTTCTGCTTGTATTTGGTCTCTCCTTTCCATAACACCCATTAACATTTCACTATAAAGTACATACTCATGTGCTACAGGAAGCAGGGCCTCTGAGAGTCCAGACGTCCGTTTTTCAGTGGCCTTACAGCATTTGTCAACGCAGCTGGCAATCCCTTTTAGAGCATCAGCCAGATCTTCTTCTGACGCCGACCACAGAATATGGATTGGGCCATATTCTTTCATTTCATCAGAACATTCCCTTTCTTCCTTGTAAGTTCTCTGAGATATTTTGTCTATCAAATTTATTTTCTGGCTAAAAACTTCAACAAAGTTATTCATTTCCGTGAACCCTTCTGGGCGGCTTTTTACGCCTCTCATTGCAGCACAACAGCTCTGACTGTCTGCGTCATCCTGCTGAGTAATCCAGGCCCTTGCTTCTTGGGAGAAGAGAGCTCCCAAGCTGGTGCAGTAAGAAATACTTTGAAGTCTTCATTAAATGTTAGAATTGGGTGATCAGCAATTCGGTTCGGGAACTTACGTAGCGCCTTCCTCCGTGTTTCAATGAAGTCATCGTTAAAGCGCCCCACCATACCTTTCATGATAAACTTCTCAGGCAGTGGTGGAATAATCAGAGTGGGATGTGCGTCTTCAAGTTTTCCTTTCAACCAAAGGAAACCTTTTTTTTTTTAATGTTTATTTACTTTTGAGACAGAGAGAGACAGAGCATGAATGGGGGAGGGTCAGAGAGAGAGAGGGAGACACAGAATGTAAAACAGGCTCCAGGCTCTGAGCTGTCAGCACAGAGCCCGACGCGGGGCTCGAACTCACGAACCGTGAGATCATGACCTGAGCCGAAGTCAGATGCTTAACCGACTGAGCCATCCAGGCGCCCCACCAAACTAAATCTTGATAACGTCTCCTAACTTCAAATTCGCTGGAGTCAAATTCCCCACGAGGTGTCTTAGTAGTAATCCTGTAAGTAATGAAAGGTTCAATTATGGTAACGTGGCTTTTGGGTTCATCAACTGTAATGAAAAGATCTGGCATCATAGGGCTGAAGGAATTCATGTCCATCAATGAGGCATCCTTACTGAACACCTCCAGGTCATCCTCGTCCTCGTCCAGATCCAGCACCTCGGCCTGGAGCAGGGTGGAGGAGTCGCTGCTGCCCAGGAGGGGGGCGCCGACCCCCAGGCTTTCCCCACCGGTGCCCCCAGCCGGGAGCTTAGGCATACATTTGTATATGTGAACCGTTATGTCAACGAGTATTTTCTGCTGGTGAGAGGGTCCCTACCTGAATGTATGTTTTACATTCTTTGCCCTTTTTTCCGGCCAGGCCACCATTTCACCATCCAGGCCAGTTAGGACGCAATGAGATGAACATGTCACTGTGAATGATGCCTCTTCTTCCTGAGAGTCACTATGGCAGAACCCTCTTGCATTTTCCATTGTAGCCTCTGTTTCCGGTTTTTTTTATCTCATTCCTTGGTTCGCTTTTTTTCTTATCCTTTGCAGAGCAAAACTTGCCTCCTGTTGTGATGCTGCCCAAAACTTCATTGTTTCTCAGAATAACACTCCAGCTGGGACCAACATGAGTTACGAGGTGGAAAGCAAAAATGAAATCCTAATTAGAGAGAACATTTTTAACATGTTTCCAGTGGTGAGTAAGGGCTTGTTGTGGTTTATTTGTGTCACCATTCCAGGTGACTTTCCTCTCACTTTATGTTGTAACTTGGACAAATAGAGGGGTTAACTTAGAATTAAAATACCGTATGTGGTTTTGTTGTGTAAGATGTTTGTAGGGGTCCATTTTAAAAAGGCACTTTTGGGGGGGCGCCTGGGTGGCTCAGTCGGTTGAGCGTCCGAGTCTTGATTTGGGCTCAGGTCATGATCCCAGAGTCGTGGGATCAAACCCCCCATTGGGCTCTGCACTGAGTGTGGAGCCTACTTGAGATTCTTTCTCTCTGTCTCTTTCTGTCTCTCTCTGCCCCTCCCCTGCTCATACTCACTCAATCTCCCTAAAAAATAAATAAATAGAAAGGCAATTTTGAATGCAAGTAGCTCTGTGGGGAATGTATTTATATCTTACATGATAAGCTCTCCGAGTCCTTGAGTCCTTCATGACTCATCCTTGAATGAGATGAGGTATTTGGGCTTTGTGCACAGTAATTACTGGGGCTTGGGAAGAGGACCGTTTTTCACCTGGAATGAGATTCATCCAGTTGTCCGTTTTGGTGACTGAATCAATTCATCCACAAAGAACTGTGGGTTTAGTGGCTAGTCTTTGGGAAGTAAATATGTTAAGGATTTGCGGTCAACGATCATAACCTCACAAGACAGAGATTTCTGGGTAGTGTGTTCATTGATGTATCCCAAGCTCCGGAACATTTCCCAGTGCATATATATGCGTTCATTATGTATTCATTAAATAAACTAGTGAGTAATGGCACAGTGTCATCGTAAGAGGAAACTTCTCCTTGAATATAAACCCGAACTTGGGGAAAATTTTTGTCCTGAAGAACATCCTGTTGCTCATAAACACACACTCTCGGGCATCTTTTCACGATTTGATTAAAAGCAGTTAAGCTAAGGCAATGTGGTCAAACATGGGATGACTTTACCAACTGTAGAATATTCAGTTCTTGCCATTAATTCCCTTTTGTTAGAACTTTGACCTCTTACAACTAATTTTTTGGTCATGCAAGTTGTTCCAGATTTTCTTTTGATATTATAATTCAAAGGAAGACGAATTTGCTGGGAATGATTGAGAACTGAATAGCAAATGATAGAGAATAAATATTGCAAATTTTCTGGGAGGAAAGGGGGACCAAAAATAACTCAAAGCGTTCTAAAAATGCCCTCATGATCCATTGAAATTACCAATAATTAAGAAGATAATAAGTAAAGAATATTTCTATTCCTTATCAAGGACGGCCTGGGAGAGTTTCATAATGAGCAACTCTTTCTAGTGTTTTCCTTGCTTTAGACTGACTAGAATAGAGAAGCAGCAGGTATTTTTTTTTTTTTTACTTCTAATTGTCACCTTGAAAAGAATAACTTAACCGAAACTTGATAATTCTGTGTGCAATTAATAATAACAGCATCCATTTTCCAAATTTACACTGAGTTTTCAGAATTAGGGGGAGGGAATTCTGAAGTCAGTACAGTAAGGCTTGCAAAGCTAGGCCACTCCCTTTCCATGGATGAGGCATGTGAGGGAGCTGACCTCCTCCTCACCCTGCTCCCCGCATACCCACCCCCCACCCCCCACCCCGGTGCTCTCCTCTGCCACAGTGCACTCTGGAACACTGTGGAACATGCAGCAAGAAGGTGACAATAGATACTTTTGATGAATGTCGTGAAGTCATTTCCTCCAAACACTTTTGCTAAGTTATTTAAAAAGAAAACAAAGTTGGTTTTCAACCAGGGTGAGCAATGAGCAGGCATTGCTCAGCGTGGCACAAATTTTTTCCGTTTTCTTGGGAGCTTTCTTTTAAGAACCATTGGAGTTTGTAATTCATGTGAACGCATGCCGAATGTGAGATGCCAAAGCATATGGGCTTTTTCACCCAGTTGACCGAGAAGCCAGAGAAAAACATTTTTTCGTGTGCTTAATTGGAGATGATGTTTCCTTCAGTAATCTTTTCTGTTGTACCATTTAGAGAATATTTGCATTCTACCCAGTGTATGGAATTCAGAATTTATTGTGGTCGTGTTGAGTAAACACGGTTGGAAGACAACCTTGAGCTAGCAGTGCAGTGAACTTCAAATACCCTGAGGTATTTGGGAACCATTAATTTAAGAGCCAGGTACCGCTGGGCGTTGCAGATACAAAGAGGAATCAGATACATAATTAAATTAACATTTTATTCATTGAATATGAGAAGCTGTGTAATGTGTTGTGAATGAGAGCGTGGACTCTTTCAAGGGTTTGAATCCCACCTCCCGCACCTGCTAGCTGTTACTTAAACCCATGCCTTTATTTCCTGTCTGTAAAACGCTGAGGTTGTTGTTTGGATTACATGCATTAATAAGTTTTGCACTTGGATCAGTGTCTCTTGTATAATATGCACCATGTGATTTTTAGTTGCTAGAGACAAACCTAGTACCGAGCTAGGGTTTTCTTTGCTTGTTTGGCATCCCCCAGGTAGAGCGTCAGGAGCACATCACAGTCATAAGGATTCGTGGGTTCCTTTGGGCTTCTGAGAACCCCGTTGGCCCTGAGGTGTTGCCATTGGTACTGGTAAACTGTTTTTGGGAAGTAGGGTGCCCTGATTTGTAGCGTTGGCCGATTTTGGTGGTGTAAGTACCCCTACTGTGGCCGATTTAAATTTACCAATGTTTATTATTATTATTATTATTATTACTATTATTATTGTTTTATTTCTTTTATAAAGTAAGAGCGCATGAGCAGGGGAGATGATCAGAGGGAGAGAGAGAGAATCTTAAGCTCCTCCACATTCTTGAAGACTGACACGGGATGGGGTTCCATCCCGCAACCCTGGGATCATGACCTGAGTTGAAATTAAGAATTGGACCCTCAACCGACTAAGCCACCCAGGCCCCCCATATTTACCCGTGGTTTAACAACAGTGCACACAATTCCTGAATATTTACCAGTTGGCTCCCACCCGCTGGTACAGGTGTGCCCCAGCACAAGGCTGGAGGCTGCACGAGGGCAGGCCATTGAGCCAGCCTGCACTTACGGTAAAATCACCGTGTCCATTGCATTGTGCGAGGTCTGTGGTGACAGAAGAGGGAAAGCTAAACGTCAGAAACACCCTCTGTGCCCTTGAAGACCTCCACCTGAATTCTGAAGACAAAACTGGTAAACGAGGACCATGTGTCTGAGCTGCCGTCTTTCGTGCTGCCCAAGGTCACATCGTTCTTTCAGGGAAAGCGACCAGGAAGGGGAAAGCGTGCTGTTGACTCGAGAAGTTAGGTTTCCGACTGGGAAGGATATGGTAAAAGGGGGACGTCTTTTGGAGTCGGCAAGTCCGGTCCTAGGAGGAAATATAAAAGATCCAGGCCTTGGAAATTAATTTGAAATATGTCAGCACAGAGTCAGTAGGGCCTCCCTAAAGAACCGCGGCTGGTCATTTGTGGAGAGATGGCAGGCATCAATCTTATGTCAGCACTGAGCCTGAAGGTCTAACTATTTAAGAAGCACGGGAAACTTCTGCTAAATTAGCTATTAATTTTATGCCCGAGAATAGAGGATTTAATGATACTTTCTAATTGCTTTATTTCCTCCATTTTGCTGAAAATGTTCCTGTTTGTTGGAAAGGCCCAGTGCGGGATTTTGCCATTCTAATGTTATTTACTTAATTACGTGGTGTAAAATACAGTAAGTTATATTTTATGAGCAAATGTATTATATTTTATATTACTACATTATATGGTATTCGATACACTGTCTATTCCTCTCAAGAGAAATGAGAGGTATAGTATAAGTTTACAGCATTATTTTAAGTCATAGTTGATCAGCATTGCTACTTCTGCTTTTTTTCCTCGTTTTTTTTCTTTCCTTAGCATGTCTAAATATTAAGCTGCTGGAATTAAGCGGTGATGGTTATGGTTCTGAAACTAAAGATATTTCACTTTCTCCTGATAGTCTCAGCCTTTTATGGAGCACCCTTATAATCGGTGTGCCGTGGTTGGAAACGGGGGGATTCTGAATAAGTCTCTTTGTGGAGCCGAAATAGACAAATCCGACTTCGTTTTTAGGTAAGACCTGTCAAATTGGTTCCTTTGAAACCAAAGATCAGTTGGATATTTTAAAAGGATAGTGTAAAGGTACTCCGTGTAAATTTTGACCTTTGAGCTGTGTTGCTTAAGTCTACAAATGACGTAGATGGCCTTTCCTGAAGTGTGAAATGGATCATGGGTTCCTCAGCATGTTAATACCAGAAGGATAAAACTGTGCTGTGGCCCCTTTGCAGAAACTCAGCTTGAGATCATGGTGAAAAAGGATCTTCACTGCAGGACTTCTCAGAGCCTTCAGTGTCGTAAGGATGCCATGGCTCCCTGAGAAGGACTCTGGAGAACAATATTTCCCAGGTTCACCTGAAAAAAAAAAAAAGACTATATATATATATATATATATACACACACACATATACACACACACACAGATACACAGATATAATTATGGTTTATATATATTTAAAAAAATATTTTTTAACAGAGCATTTCGAGAGTTTTGTTCTCAGATAAAACTTAAGAAAATGCTG